ATGTTTCAGATTTTGAAGTTAGCTCTCATTTTACATTCAAGCTCAGGAGAGGAGCAGTAAGACCTGCAATTAGGTTTTGTTTCATATGGTGCACCCAAATTTTTTTTTTGTGCACCCAATTTTCTAGGTTGGGTGCACCAGTGCACCTATTCCCAAAAATGAATTTCGAGCCCTGAATAATATATAATTTTAGAGCGGTTGTGTTTTTTCGAGGGCAGTTTTTAACTCGAGCAGATGCGAATAAAGAACAAGCTTGATTCGTGTTAAAATAATATAATTTTGACCCCCTTAATAGCTGCTATGAAATTGTAAGTGCCAACTTCCAATTTTGAATTTCCCGCCAGTAGATTAAGTTAGTATAGCTTCCCGCCAACTCCCTGCCCCCCCTGAGCACCAGGGTAGGGAGCCCGTCTGTCTGGGACTTAGGTAGACAAGGCGACAGGCAGTGCATAAGGCACAAGCAGAGAGACAGAAGTCTGGTGTGGTTCGTGAGTTAGGACCAAAAAGGCCTGGGCACAGAAGTCCCAGGAAAGACCAGAAGAGGATTACAAAGGCCTGGATACAAGGATCCAGGAAATCCAGAAAAGGATTATCAAAGGCCTGGATAGAGAGGGTCCAGGAGATACCAGAGGATATTCTGTGGAAGGACGATGAGACCATACCAGTTTTACGCCAAGAACTCGCCAAGAACTCGCCAGGAACTCGCCAAGAATTCACCAGGAACTTGCTAAGAACTTGTCAAGAACTTGTGCTTTGTTCCTCGAATTGGGATCAAGAAATCAAACTGCCCTAGGAATACAATTACCAACAAGAACTCTACCAGCAAATTCAGAAACATCGAACTTATACGGCGGAAGTAGAACAGGGCGGATTTCAGTTTGTATTACTAACTCTACTGATGATTAAACATTTATGACGTATTCCAATCAGTTTGTACGACTTCTTCCCTGAAGACCAACAGAGGTGAGTTCGGTAACACTTCCTCATACGTCCATCCCATGCAGAATAGCAGCAGCCACAGTAATAAAGTGGTGCTGCGCCTACAGAAATTTTCGACTGTGCGTGGTTTCCCAAACTACTAGTACATGGCCAAAAGAAACATGATGTAACATCAATGTTTCTTTTGGCCATGTGGTTTGGGAAACCATGTACAGTCGAAAATTTCATAATATTGTTTGTAGGAAATTCATCAACAAATGTTAAAAGTATCTAAATTTGCACGTGTGAAATTATTGTAAAATGTTGTTCCGTTCTAGGACTGCAACCTGCTTCTAAAATCCTTGTTATCATTTATGGTATCATAACAGTATAGCTTCTGAATCTCTGCTTTATTTGACATTTTGACATATTGATACCCCACGGGCCCAAATTTGTATATGGGTTGCACATACAGTACCACCCTTATAATGACCAGAATATGTACGATTTCTGGGTATTTCTTACCTGAACACATCACACTGCAGCGAAACGCAACAAATGCGGAAGTAACCATGCCACAGGAGTGCAAAAGAAGTCAAGCGTCTATGATCTGTTTAACATTAAGAAATCAAATTATTAAAAAAATACATTTATTGGTCTATGACCTGTTTGACTTTAAGAAATCTAAATACATGTATTAAAAATATATGTATTGTGTAAAAATGCCAGCAGGACAAGGGTTAAGAAATTTGTAACATAATGTATCTCCTTTTTCCACATGTACATCCTTCTGACTGCTGAATGTTGGACATGATAAAGCACGGTAAGTATCTTTTTTTCTTCTTTCACAAATGGGTGCAGAGCCAGGTACTTCCAAAAAGAAAATGAAAAGAGCACTAAGTTTTAAAAAGTAAATTTCATCACATACATGCTATTGTTATATTGACCCCACTTTACAGTGGTCCTAGTTTTCCAATAGCAATTTCCTACAAGGTTCTAGTACGGGCAAAAATGAGAAACTGTACTGTACTTACAGACGTACCGATGGTGCATAAATGGCAGCAGGCACAGAACTTTTTCATGATGATATATATTGTTATATTCTGCAGTAGGACTGGTACCTCATGATCAAGCCCGGGTTATTTGAATACACTGTAATGTGTTGTTTTCTAAATCTATATTGTACATTGTACTTATATTTAAGTTATAACAATCTGGCATCAGTTTTAACTTTTATACACTCTCTTTTTTTTCCAGCATTTTTGGGGACCAGGTGAGAAAAAGTCGTGAATCATGGCATATAGCAACTACCCATGGCAACTGTCAATGTCTGAAACTCTAAGTGATAATTTAAGTTGATAAAATTTGGAAAATATTTCTGTAAACCAGCTTCATATGCCCATGTGACAGAAAAATTGCAGCATGTTTTTGAATTGGTCTTACATTAATATTGTAGTTCACAGTATCTATCTGTATCTGTACAGCAGGTATAACCACTCATTTGCCCTATGTTGTGAAAGAACATTGATGCAGTTATATAATACACTTACAGTAGTTAGATTTATGGACATAGTATACTAATGTGCTAGTACCATAGTCAAACTTGAATGTAAATTTATGATTGTTTTGTTGCATAACATGACATGTTGTACACACCAAACAAAATAATCATTTAGATATACTTTTTATTGTTTTGTCTATTCCATCACTCTTGGTCCCAGCCCACTAGTACTTGATGTGATACAGTGTATAGTATTCTACATGTCTGATTACTAGTATGTTGTCTGTCTTGGGGACTGACTTTCAGTTGCAAACTGGGGCATACCACTGGCAGCTATCGGTGACATGAAGAAGAGTCCTGACATCATCAGTGGGAAGATGACATTTGGTAAGTTTAAGGTTTGGACCGTACAGCTTTAGATACATTGATGCAGAACAGGGCTCGAAATTCATTTTTGGGAATAGGTGCACTAGTGTACCCAACCATTGGGTGCACAAAAAACTTTGTACGTTGTGTTGGGTAGGCAAAGGTGTTGGGCCTCCTGGTACCTGACCTTGGTACCGCAGCACAACTTCTGGTTGTTGTATCTTTTGTCCTGATATGTGATGGATAGCCTTTCCTGTCAGTAATAAGTGGTGTAGGTTTGGTCCCCCTAGCAGCTTGTTCTGGAACTGCAGGGGAGTTTCTGGCAAAACTTTTCAGAGCAGATAAATTCACAAAGGAACAATGTATTTTTATCATTTTTGGTATGTGGGTAGCTTAGACAGAGATCTACATTATTGGATGCAAATTATACAAATGATGACTTCATTTGCATAATTAATGAGGAAATTCTGTAATTCCAGTGTTTTACATCATAGGACTTTGAATTTCTTTAATACATGTAATGTTTATAATCTATGGCAGGTAGAATATCACCAGATACCAATTATGCAAATATGGAGGTAATTTGATGAATCTGAAAATTTTATGAGTCCTTAGTGGTAAATGATGGGAATTTTAAACTTGGGACATGTGTACATGTAAGTCAATCAAAAGTTTACATCGCGATGCACATATTATGTTAATGTAGACGTCATTTGCATAATTAAAGAAGAAATTTACATTCACATGTCAGGCCCATATTTCATGGAGGTATGAGATCTCGGAACTCTTGTTGTTATTATTTTACATACTGCAGTTTTAAGACTGCAACATTTCAAGGGTTATTGTCTTGTGTTCCAGCCCTGTGTATCTACTCCCTGTTGTTCATGAGGTTTGCGTGGAAGGTCCAGCCCAGAAACATGCTACTGTTCGCCTGTCACTTCACCAACGAGACGGCACAGGTCATCCAGGGCATGCGCCTCGCCAAACACCTGTGAGTCTGTCCTCGGGAAACAGTTGAAAAGAAGGAAGGCATGACATTTCATTCAAATGAGTTACCAGCCCAACCACGGGGCAGGTCGTTCACAATTTCAAAATTAATTCTTCTGGCTTAGAGGTGAACTAGGGCTGTGTACCGGTATGCAGTACTGATACTGTACGGAAAAAATCTATTAGGTACAGGTCCAAAATACCTACTAGTAATCCCTCAGTACCAGTACTGTACCTGTATATGGTTACACTAATTATATGCTTATTTGTGACCTAAAATAGGGAATATAGCTGGTCCCCCATGGGTCCCAGAGACAGGACAGTGTGTTTGTGTTACAGACTGACAGTGTTAACTACCCTGAAAGATCTGTTGTGTAGATGTGCTCCCTCTAGATGTCACTTTGGTCAGGTTTGAGTTATAATTACATGAGGCCACTTACTTAAGTTAGGGTAGTAGTATTAGGGTCAAATTGTTTAGGTACAGATTCAGGTCCAGACCTGTACCTAAACCTGTGTACCTGTACCCATACCTGTACCAACTTCTACCCGGCAGCAAGGCATTGTGTAACATATGCTGGTGTACTTTTTGACTCCTGCATTGTTAAACAAAGAATTCTGATGTAAACATTTAGCAGATATCTCCTGTAGCTTTGTTCTGTATCATGTTTATCGGCATCACAGATAAAGTCTACTGCCATGCTAAAATCCCCGTCACACATTCCCCTGAACACCAGCTGACCAAGTCTGGGAGCAGATTTAGGCCATGCCTACCTGTGTGTATGAATCGAATTGAATTTTCATTAAATTTGAGTCAAATTTTAGCCAACCATGCCTGACCTACAAATATACTTCCCAACACCAGCCAGCCACCAGCCAAAGGTGGCCTAACCTCCCGTAAACACCCGAATGTTGAAATATTCAGGTGGCACAGCCAAACAGTAGCCAACCTGACCAAACGTTAGACATCTTGTCTTCCCTACTCCTAACCATGTTTGGTGGGAGTTTGGCTAGTGTTCAGGAGGCCATATTCAGCTATGTGTGACAGCATTACACTCAAGCTTTCTGCATATATTTTTCAGGTACGTTGATCCATCTACAGAACAGGATCTGAAGAAGAAGTCGGAGTGAACACCCAACTTTTATTTCAGTGGGATTACTAGACAAGTGGAGAAAAGTTAGACTCGCTGAGGTGAATCAATCGGTCAGGGTTGAAAATGCTTTGTACCCAGGCTGTCCAGTGGACAGTGGACAACCTAATTAAGGCCACAACAATTTAATTTGTTGGTTCTCGGATTTTTTCAGAAAACATATGAAGCGACAGGGCAAAAATAAAAAATAAAAACAGGTCTAGGCATCCTATTATAGCCCCAAATGCTACGTTAGGAGCCATGAAGTCAACACAAAAGGCTGGGTTAATATCTAAACAATGAATTTTGAACTTTTAATCAAACCACTGCTTTGATAGATAGAAAACTGTAACAACTAGGAAGAAAAGGACTTTCCTCAACTGATGGGGGCAAAATATGAGCATATTTGAGTTGATTCAGAACCAGAGTCTTTTTTTTTCAAATCAGAAAAAAGATGAAGAGGCGAATCCGAGAACCAACCTATTGGTGTGGCCTATGCCAACAGCTAGGCCGCCCATCAGGATTTCAGGTTGCCCAAGTCGGATTGTGTAGCTAAAAATGCTGGTAGCACTTGTAAAAAAAAAGTAAACTGTGCCTAATGAAATACGGCTACCAGACACAAACTGGGCAACCGGGTATTTTGAACCCTGCATTTACTATATTTGTTAATGGCTTGTGATGTAAATATGGTGTTGTTTGGGTCTGACTTATAACAAGAGAACAAATTACAGTAAGTATTGATGTTTGTTTTATTACTTAAGAGAAACAGTGACAAATAGTATTTATGATATAGCCTTGGTGATAACTTATTGTGACCGGTAATTTTTTTAAATCACCTCTCATAAACAAATATACATGTGCTACATGTAGTATCAAATACAATTCCAGGGAGGCGAAACCAAAAAAAATATTCTGCATTAGGATATCTGTCTGATATTGACATATACTACTGATTCTGAGCACATTTGATATTTGAACACATTTGATATTTGAGCATTTGAAGTAGCCCAAAAACAAGGTACATGTATGTGAGATGTCCTTTTGTTTTTAGGGTACCACCCATAAATAGCTAGAACCTGGCCTACGATACAAAACAAGCAACCGTTTTCCATCAGTGACATACATTTGTACCTCACAGATATCATCAGTATGCTATTGGATAGGGTTGATTCAACTTACTACATTAAAAGCATGACCAGAAATTGACTTTGAAAATTCAGTTTTAATAGCACAGTCAATACTTAATACATGTACAAATATAGCTGTACACATATACGTGTATGTAGCCCTGTGAAACATGTAAACCATGTATTACATGTCATGTAGGTAGCATGGGAAACATGTATCATGTATGTCACTGCATTCAATTCACTCAAAACTCTTATCAAGATGTGTTTGAAGTTCAATATTTATAGAGCAGTACCTCCTGCCCACCTTCTGGTTTTACAGGAATTGCATGACTTTCATGACTAGTGGTTTTACTTCTCTGTGTTGATGAATGCATTGTTTTGCTCAATGTACATACATGTACTACATGCACTTTTGGTCTGATCCAGTATGAATAAATGACTGTCTACAACCAAGTCTCATTGCCATTAACATGCAGATATAATCATTGCTTCCTAACTTACATGTATATTTGAATGTTGGCATCAAGAGCTATTTTAAGAAATTCATATAGTAATGGTTGTAATATACATTTGTGTATGTAGAAGAGCTCTAAAACAACCTGTAAATTGAATGTAAACTTCAAGAAAAGTGGCTACTTTCCAGCAGTAGCTTTGGCGTGTTTTAGTCGTTTTTGTCAAACGTTCTTTTTTTGTGCTGGAAAAACATATATTTTGGACTCCTTTATACTACATATGAATATTACAACAAAATACCTTGAAATTGATACCCTGATTTAAGTTTTGGGCATAAACGGAAACCTGTGTAAGTGACCACTTCTGCATTAGGACCACCGAAATCTTTTTCCCATTGAACATTGGAAACCCTGTCTATAGTGACCACGTGTCCACCAGTCAGTCTTGACTGTACCACACCTTGAAACAATTTTCTAGTTCAGGCCACACCAATTTAATTTGTTGTTTCTCGGATTTTTCAGAAGAAAAAAATGAAGCGACAGGGTGAACTAAAACAAGTATGATATTAAAAAAAAACACAGGCGACGATTTTGTGTTTATCTGTTCCGTTCTTGACAAATCGTTCTTTTCATATACGTACACATATTTCAGAAAGAATCCAGAATTTCTGTACAGTACGAGGAAAGCCGTCAGGGGTCCAAAATCAGTTAGACCCAGGTAAATTTATGTTGTGTTTCTAGCCCTAGAAAAATTAGAATCGCTAGATAGGGATTCACTTTTTTAGTTGTCTTTTGATTTTTTTCATAGATCTTTATAATTAGTGATCCAACTAATACAGTTAATATAACAATGAAATGTATAAGTACACTGGTATCTTCAACAACACCCTAATTTCGCCCCTAGAGATACAATAGTGAAACGCGGTCCTGGGTTTACCGTAAATTCCCGAATAAATACACATCCCGATTAAAGTACGCAGCCCCGATTTGGGGCTGATGGGAGACAAATATTCCCGTCTGAAAGAGCTTTTTAAACCTCCTTTCTGAAACTTAAGATGGAAAAAACTCGAATAAAATAGGCACCGGTGCGCACGGCCAGTGTCACTGTGAAAATGTACATGTAGTATGTATGTCTTAAAAACAGTTAGTTCTAGAAAAAAAATAGTTTAAAAATAGATTTAGGCTGTGTACTACGTGATTGCATGTTAACTGGATACAGTATTGTAGCGGGAAACCGTTTCGTGTTGGAGCTTGTTTTCACCGCTGGCCGCAGCCGATTTGCAAGACGTCACCCCCGCATCGAAGGGTAAGGCGAGTGCGGGGAAACGTACAGCTTTGGATCACGGAGAGTGTAATTGGTGATCAAGCAAGCAATGGTCAATAAATTTTTGATTTAGATTTGTGAATATTTCAATAATGGTTTTATCGGTAACAAGGAATAGTTGAATGTTGATGCATAAGTACGTAGCTTTGTTGTTCTTTACTATACGAAATGCGCCGAACACTTTAATAGGGCAGCGGCACGTACACCGGCGCCACGCTTGCCGGCGCACTCCAAACACAGACCTACCGGACCCCACCCACCGGGCGGCGGTAAGATTTTCAAAGACTACATTTTTAACTCCGCACCTATCATTGTTGCGTGCCGAACAATCGAGTACATCTAACTTGCATTTTCACGCCGTACTGACGGATATAGCCCGCTACAAAATAATTTCCTGTTGCATTTAACAAGATTTAAAAAGATTTGTGATACGAAATGAAATATTGATCACAATTTATGTTAACTGAACCTTTGTAACGGCATGGAGATAATCTTTAGATTTCTGAGTTCAACTCAAGCCGGAAGTGCATTAGAACTGACCATCAGTCGAGGCACAACTACTATGTTATTATAATATCACATGTTACGTTACGACGATCAAGAACGTTCACGGCTAACGGACTATTTTCACTCATAAACCCTCTTATAATTTTATATGTACTCACGTGGGGTTTATATTTTCGGCCGGAGATCCACGAGATTGTCCCCTGCCTTAAGGTACTCGGCCTTCGCGTTCAGAGTGATCTACGTTGGAACGAACAGGTCAATCATATGTCTGCAAACGCTGCCAGGAAACTGTTTATTCTCAAGCGTCTCAGGAAGTTTAATCTCTCACAAACTGAACTCCTAATCATCTACACTGCATACATCCGTCCACTTATGGAGTACGCTGGTCCCCGGGACTATCTAAACAGCAAGTTGATCAGCTGGAGCGGATACAACGAAGAGCCTGTCGGATCATCATGGGTCCTGCCTATACCGGATATGCAAGCTCACTCGAACATCTGAAACTCACAACGCTTGCCGAAAGGCCTGAGACTCTGTGCCTGAACTTTGCCAGATCACTTATCAAGTCTGAGTTCGAGCATTGGTTGCCGAGTCGCAGATCTAGCATCACAGGCAGAAGTACCAGAAATGCTCAAAAACTTGACATTCCAAAGGCTAAAACACAGAGATACAGAAACTCACCAATACCCTACCTGACTCGATTGTTGAACCAGCATGACTTTTAATCTTCAACTTATTTTTAATGCATTGTCAATGAGCGAATATTCTCTTACTGTCACTACCAATTCTTTGTATATATGACGCTCCTCTTTTATTGATATTGTACTATATTTTAATCATGTACTGTATTGTGCTATTGCACTACCTTTTAACCCTATATCGCCAACCATTATATTGTACTTTTATGTAATATTGATCTTAATTCAGTGTACTCCACTGCGACATCAATAAAGCCAATCTGAATCTGAATCTGAGATCGGCGCCGGCTGGCCAGTGGGAAACGTCCCGTCGGCATTACGGAGAGCCGGACGTCATTGTCAAACCCTTCAGACATAGTTATAGACATAGTTATAGTTCTAGACAGCTACCTTTATCATGTATACTTTAGTTATTTTATATTCTATTTCATTGTTCTTTTATGTTTTGTAATTTGCAATTAGCCTCCGGGCACGAATTTGCAATAAACTTTTCAATTGCTAGTGACCTACATTTTCTTATACCGTGCGTGACTTGATCTCTTCTTTAACTGCAACTTGAAGTCAATATCGACGATAGTCAGAATATATATATGTGCATTTATTATGTTTACCGAAGAAAGTGGTAAACATATTGTTTTTGCTCGATTTCTTCTTCCTCCTCCTCTTCCTCCTCCTCCTCTTCTTCTTCCGTTCCAAACACCTAAAAATCGTGGATATTTTCATAATTAGAGCCTAAAAGAAAATGAAATTCAGCATGGATTCATTCCTGCTATTTTCTTACAGTTTTTCGTGAGTTTTTTGCTGCACAATAGCTTTGTAAATGTAGCAGTTCAACCATGACCGCGTGAGGAACGCGTTACATGGTTATACACAATGTTTTCGTACACTCCTGTGCTTCATCACCGGTGAATAAAAACTACGTATAACAAAGTTGGCTGACGTCAGGGTGCTCCATTGGCCGTGTCCAGATCCCCCGACAAGACGCAAAAATAATTTAAAAACATTTGGCACGCCGCCATCGGTGATAGGTCCCGCGGTAGACTTGGAGATCTGGAGTATCTCACACCAGGTTTTTTTCGCTCCGCGGTACGCAGGACACGCGGATATCTCGCGGGATTTATCGGGACGCCTATCCCGAAAAATTCCGCGGCACGATGATGCATGTCCCGTGAAGTTATCTCTCTCAACATAATATGGATAATTGCCTCTAGGAATGTGACAGAAGAAATAGTGTTGGGGCTTCAATGTATATGAATAAATATGTGAACGCCTGGTTTCACTAAATTTACTAGTATAATTACGTGAGTCTTCATTATGTTTTTATTTTCAACTTGTGCCCGCCGAATATCGCGCTTGTGAATTATTTTAAGCGGTTATATATCATACTTCCAAGACGTCTGAAGTAATGTTTAGTTCTTCCTTTTCTCAACCTCTTAGTGAATCTGCATGCTTCCCAATGCAGATATTCAGCATTCACAGTTTTCTTATGATGTTATGTACATGAATGTACATGTACAAAGAGATGTATGCTTGCGTTGTAATTCTTTTATTGCATACAGACAACAGTGTTTCCTGTATTAAAAAATTGCTGTAAAATTTTGACATATATTATATACCCTCTTGGACCCCGCCTGATATAGTTATACGAGTATATACATCTGTATTATGCTTTCCTTTTGTGGTTTAATGACTTAGACATTATCAGTTTCTGCTCACTTTTGAAATGCTTACTCTCCTGTTTGTATCCTCTGTACAGCACATACATGTACATCACAACCATTTCTAGAAACATGTATAATACTTTTAACAGCAATCCTAACAAAACGCGGTGGCCTATCGCCCATGCTGGAAGAATGATTTGCAAGATTCGATGTTCCCTAACATCAAAAGAGTTAAATTTTGGTCCAAAACGTCTTTGTTCATTGAATAACACATATCACGTTTGACTATTTACAGGACCTGTTACATTTCAGTGTGTCACCAAGGAGTTTATTATAGGGGGGTCTTTGATAGGGGTGTGGGGGCTAACTCGTGAAGGAGTGAAGGTTTCCGATCGGCACCGAGACTGGTATAAACCTCCTTGGTGTCACATGGTCTTTAATAGGTTTCTGATGGTCCCTAGACGGCTTGAGCCCCCGAGACTGTGCTATCAGATCTGGAAACCCCGTGAATTGACGTCATGAGAGCATGCCAGCACCACGTCGCTGTAAAATGTGTTCCCCCAGGGCGTCACCAATTTTCAACAATTGGGTCACAGTTTTTATCATGTTCCTCGCCCTTCGATGCAATCTGTGTTACCTCAGAATGTCCTTGCAAAAAGTCCTATCACTCGCACCCCCCCCCGCGCTTTGTCCATAGGGGTTTGACGTTGCAAGTCGCTTGTAAACTAGTGAAGCATGCGAGGAATAAACATGAATGCCGTTTCCTCGTACAGGAAGTGCGTGCCTGTCGCTTGATGCAATAGTTGACTTCGTTATACATGATTTCCTTTATATCATCGCTGCTGTACCGTGAACTCTCGTTGTGCAGACAGACTGGTTGTAAAGTGTAGACAGCTAGTATCTAGACACCGTACCGGCGGTCGCGACTCGAAACACGTTTGGAAAACATGGCGATCCATTTCAGACTACCTTTGTTGTTCTTTGCGCTCTGGCTACAAAGTGGTAAGATTTTTTTACGTACTCAGAGTGTGACTGTGTGGTGTTCCTAGCTGTTAGCACTAGTATTCTCTGTTGTAACAGCACCAATCTTTATTTCAATATACATGTATATACAAGATGACTCGTTGAAGAACACCTAGGCCAGCCCTTTATCTCATTAAGGGCACGGTCACATTTCCAAGCCGGGGCCCGGCCGGGTTGTTTGCGTGAACGAATAATAAACAATTTGTATTAAGAGCCTACACAAATAGTGCTCATGGTTAATTTTCTAAATTTTTTATTGTGTTCTGCTGTCTTATATCATAATTTTCGTTCCAAACGACTGCCCGGCCGGGCCCCGGGTTGGGAAATGTGACCGCGCCTTAAGAGGAAGGTGCAAGGTAAGTAAAATGTAACAAGTAACTGTGTGCATCGGACATTAAACTTTCGATTAAAATTGTTTTCTACACATACATTTCATTTATACGTATACTTACAAAAAATGTTTTATAGATCTTAAAGGTTAAAAAAAGAATCAAGCCTGTTGCATCAAATTTATCTTTTACAAGAGAATAGCCCTGAGGTACTTTCCCAACCCTGTGTGTTTCTAGCGCAGTATATGGCATAAGATGCACAAAGTGCGCACTTCCCCAGTCTACTTTTAAGATGTCTGACTTCACGGTCCTAATGACTGACTAGGCAGAGTGACTTCAGTTTCGCAGTGTTCTCACTGTTAATCCATCCTCTACTTCCAACTTCAACTGTAAAACTCCCGGGTAGGAAACATGTGTTAATCTAGCGCTAGCTAACGTAACAGTCCTTGTCTCATATCATTTTGTATTACCACTGTTACATATGCCTATTAATGTTCAGTATATATCAGCCTTAACGACGTTAGTTGTGTTGTCTATGGATCCGCCCCCAAAGTACAAAACGTCCCCCGTAAAGTACATGTAGGGCAGAGTTCGGGCGACTTCCTGCCTGTGAACAACATGGGGATTTTAACTTTTTCCCCCATGTTGTTAACAGTCCTTTTGAGTTACAATGCCATGTTATCGTAGTTTGGTGCCGCCTTTGGAAAGGACTTATGGATATATGGCCCTTCGCAACTTGTAAAAACGGTTAATATTCACCGATGCCACTTATGTATTTCTAAGTAGCCTCTACCAGGCTTCGGGAGGCGGATGGAAAGAGTAGAAATCGGCCAAATAAAGAGATAACATGCCAAGGGAGTTGATCTGTGGCAAAATGTACTCTCTAGCGGACCAACTCCTTCGGCATGTTATCTCTCTATTTGACCGATTTCTACTCTTTCCAGCCGCCTCCCGAAGCCTGGTAGAGGCTAGCTTCCGAGACAGATATGGTTTTCTAGCTTCCTGACATGTGTTATTTTGCGAGTACTGAGGTAGCTAGTATAACGCCTGGGCCCCCGTGAATGATTGGATTGGTACCGTCCTCAGGTTGTGGGCTACACAAAGGGGCTTAATCAAATCGAACATTATGCCTTCGCCAAGAATGTTATGTTTTTGGTAGCGGTTATGCGAGCGTACCAAGGGACAACTCGATTAACTATGGATGAATTGTCATGAAACTTTGTAGGTGGCCAAAATTTGACAAGACCTTAAAATAATTAGATTTATATAACTCGGCAGGAGCTAGGGTGGGAAACATTATCTGACAGACGGCACGTCCACCGCCTTTGTTTGTTTTATAAGATTGTGAACGGTCAAAGTCGAAATTACCTGTCGGAAATATTACCTCCAGCCATATCTTCATCATGTCATTACAACCTTCGTAATAATATGAACCTAAGACCCCTTAGTCATTCTACAAACCGGTTTGCAAATTCTTTCGTTCAATATTCTACATTCTACTGGAACAACCTTGACTTGTCAACACGATCCCTAAATTACTCAAAATTTCGTTCAGTTCTTCTCAAATCAATAAGGCCTGTTAAATTTAAGTACTTTAGTCACGGTCCTCGTTATTCTGGTGCTCTTATGGCACGCCTTCGCATTGGCACGTGCAGCCTGAATTACAGTCTCTTTACTCGTGGATTATTGAACAGCCCAGCTTGTACCTGCGGATGCCAATGTGAAACCGTCCCACATCACCTACTCCACTGCCCCATGTACAACTCCCAACGCTCTACTCTCCTTGGCAAACTATCCAGGCTCATAGGACACACCCTAGATTTTACAACTCTTTCTGACAACGCAAAAACTGACCTTTTACTCCGTGGTAGTCCTGTATTCTCATCAGTTGTTAACTCCAGTATATTATTACTTACCCAAAACTTTATCACCACATCAGAACGTTTTTAAAAGATTTCAATTTCCCCCTTTGTTATCTATGTACTGTGTCCTCTTTGCCATCATTTACCATTGGGTGGGGAACCGGACTTGCGCTTTTGAATTTCCTGTATTTACTGTTTTTGCCTGTCCCAAAGTTGCGTTTGTTTTTTTCTTTATTATATGTATTTATTTCAGTGGTGCCGTCAACATAAGTGCTTTCCACTTGAGTGCGGCACCACCATGTCCTGTACCTTTTTCTATGTGAATGAATAAAAAAATGATTAGATTTGGGGCACCCTGTGGGCTTGTTATGGTACTGCAGCTGAAGTTAGGTGAAGGTGAACATCATTAAACATAACTTATCAAAATCATGGCCTAATTTGCATAATTTATGAGGAAATGTTAGAATAGCTTTCTTTGTTGAGATATGACTTTCATTGGGTGAAGAATATGATCAACTGGTATAATGCATGCAAATGAGTATCTTATATGCATAATAAATGAGAGACATTTACGATTCGTCAGTCGCAAATGTTAACATCATCTGGCGAATGCATGTTAGTCTCTACCAGACTAACTACGCTGGCTATATATAGGAGAATACTGGTACTTGCCATGGGGAGTTTGGCCACCTTGGGAGAAGAAACAACAAACATTCCCATGGCCGGACTCCCCTAGCCAATTTTACTCTCCTTTTTGCCGAATTCGATGATCCATATTCCCGTAGAATGGCCTGGTGGAGGCTAAAGGTGTGTGGTTGTGGACCTCTTGTGTTCCACATTTTCTTGTTCTTTTATCCCGTCAGCATCCAGTGTTTTTTCAGCATGTGGCCCCACCATTGTTCAAATCGTCACCTTGAGTTGCATGTTGTCAGACTCTGTGTGTTGTGATAGGTGCTGCGACCATGTATGACGTTTCCGTGGAGAATCTGAGGGCATCTCTGGAAGGACCTTTCGGGGTCAACCGGCATCACCTAACCAACCCCTCGGGCAAGGCGGCGGCTCGGGACCACATCATCTCCACGTTCAGACAGTACGGTCTGGAGGTCACAGTTCAAAACTTCACCGCGCCTAGCGCAAGCGTCAGAGTAAGTTTTGATAAGTAAGGCCATATTGATTTGATTATATGGAGGGCATCGCTTTAGCTTAGAAAATATTTTTCTTGTTGTTCTTAGATGAACATGAAAAGAATAGCTGGATCGTCCCGTGAATGCTTTCTCAAGCTAAACTGCAACTCTATGGTGAACATAGTTTACAAGATCTGTCTTGTCGTACTTGAACCGTTCAGAAAAAAATAAAATAAACAAGCTAAAAGCCATGTGTAAATACATGTCGTTGTCGTAAGTACTGCTCTATGAATGGTTTGTGCTGTGCTATGTGCCATTGAAAGGTTGTCACGGTATCAACCAAGGTAAAGAAACGCGAAAACGCGACGGCTAGTGACACTAGACCATGGAGGTGTACAATGATAACTATATATCGGAATTCTACCAGAGTTATTTAAACAGGATACGAGTACAATAGGTTAGTTGTAACACCAGGAAACACGGTATATGTTTAATGCTTCATGGACTTTGTTCTCAAACGACCGTCAGGGAAATGCTGGCACCAACATCATCGGCGTGAAGCGCGGGAAACTGAACGGAACTTCAGACGACAAGATCGTGGCTGTGGGGGCGCATTACGACACCGTGTCCAACTCTCCAGGTAACAGGCAAATAAGTACCAAATTTGTCACTGGCCCCTCTTAGTCATGCAGTTTTGCTAAAATACTTTGATTTGGATTCTCGAAATTCTTTCTAACTAAAAAGTAGAGTGCAACCCCCTTTCTGAGGCAGCGTAGTTCCCATCATTAAGGATTTGTGAGCCATAAAAAAAATACAAACCACTCCAGTTCTATAGGAATGTCCACGGTTGCAAAGTTAATAACTTCTTCTTTTTCTATTTTAATGTTTCTTGTCCCCGTTTCTGGTGTTTTATCATTAGTTCCCACTTAAAGACTTGTTTGAAAACTTTTTTTTCAGGTGTTGATGACGATGGATCCGGTATGGCGGCCATGTTGGAAATCGCCAGGGTGATGACGTCATCTAACGAACAGAACTTCACCACCATATTTGTGGCGTTTGACCACGAAGAAAGTTTGTTGATTAATATAATATTATTCATTTCTTGAGCATGGGCATCAGTTTAATGTTAAACGAAAAGTGGTAACTGGAAACGATTATTATCTTTGTAACTTTCCGTCACCAAATACATGTAAGATACATGATATGAATTTGTTCCTATTTCTTTTTAATTCAGATGCACCCCCCGCTCGTGTTGCTATCGGTACTCCATGTGAAACAGCTCGGGGGTCAGACGACTTCGTCTGCTCCTGGCTCCTTCCTTTCCTCCGGTCTTCAGGAGGTCCAGAATTCCAGGGAATCTTCATGTTGGAGACCATCATGAACTATGACCCACAGCCGAACGTCCAAACAGTTCCTCAACCCCAATTCTTCCCATTAGTGCGTATACGTATATTAAGTTATGTCATGTTCTATCATCCCAAGGACCTTATATGCCCTAGCTTCATCATACCAAATATATCACGAAAAAACGTTGTCCATTTACCATGAAGGAGAATTTTGAAAAAAGTCTGGTCTAAAATTTGGCTTGAGGATGGGGAATGATATATTATTCGTTTGCCAGCAAATGTAACATGGCTCAATCACCTCCGCGTGAGCGAAGATATTACTCTCTGTATGTATGTCTGTGTGTGTGTTTGTCTGTGTTTCTAAATCATTCCACATATGCAAGTTATCATTATTGTCCTCGCTAATGGATCAATGTGTACTGTACACTCCCTGCAGATGTTCCCAAGTGTTCACCAAGAGTTGGTTGACTTGAATTTCTGGGGAGGTTTTCTGCTTTTGATCCACAAGCCGAACGAGACTGCGATGGTGTCCGCGTTTCAACACACCTGGGAGGAGAGGTCGAAATCTCCCGTGGCCGCTCCCGCCTTGAACATCAATGTTCCA